ACTTCCAGCATATTATGCTCGACCGATATACTTTGCTGGCTGCAGTATAATATACTAGAGTTCCAGCAAAGTATACTGGAACTCCAGTATATTATACTGGAGTTCCAGTATATTATGTTGAAGTATTTTCCGAATTTTGAACAGTATTTTTGATCAGATTTATCTTTACATGAAATGTTCAATGACTTTTGAAACTGTGACTATTTTTGAATGACCACTTGTAAATCTGGCTATTTTGAATTTCTCCCGATGTTGTCTGGATATGGAGATATGAGAGATTTTAGTTCAGACGGTAATAGTTGTGCCAATGGCTATGATTTGATATTAAGTTTATTCCACCGGACATTTCAGGTAACGTGCAAAATTTTTAGCTATTAAAATTTTTAGGACGCAGCAGAGATAACTTCACTAAAATCTTAACCAAGTATTATAGCCTGTTTGGCCAAGTTTTTTTTTGGCCTAAAGTGTTTTTTTCCAAAAATTGAGGTATTTGGACAAGCTTTTAGAAGGAACAAAAGTAGTTTTGAGGAGAAGCAACAGCAGAAAAAAGTAATTTCTCTCCAAAAGCACTTTTCTGAGAAGCACTTTTGGGAAAAATACACTTAAAAAGTAGTTTTTAAAAGCTTGATCAAACATTAATTACTGCTCAAAAGTACTTTTCAAATTAATTAGTCAACCACAAACTGATTATCACCAAAAGTACTTTTAAAAAATACTTTTAGAAAAAGTATTTCTCAAAATAAGTTGATTTTAAAAGCTTGGTCAAACGGGCTATTAGTAGTCCAGATGAACAAAAACTTGGGCGAGCACAAAAAATGGAAGACCTTGCCGGTTCGTAACAATGACTAGTGTCATCTGCATATTCCAAGTCCAAGAAAACAAAGGAAAGACTTTCCTACACTAACTTATTGCATTAGTTCTGCAAGCAGTTATTAACGGATTTCTAACTGCCAAAAACATTACGGAAAAGCTATTTCTCCGCATAGCTTCAAATAGCAAGTGTGTAATCAGTGTAAAGCTAAAAGCAACTTGCAACTAAGGGTGCACTGTGGGCCGGGCCCATCCCGGGACCGGACCGGGACCGTGGGCCAAACGGGCCGGTCTCAGTGGGCCGGCCCCAAATGGTACTCCAAGCCCGTAGCGGGCCGGTCTTGTACATTTACCCCACGAGCCCGGGACCGCTAAGCCCGGGACCGGCAGGCGGGCCTGGGCCGGTTCAACCGGGCCTCAACGGCTATAATTTAAAAAAAAAAACGGTCAAATTTTAAAATCTAGCCGTTGGCCATCAAAAAAGAGCCGTTTGGGACTTTAAAAAATAGCCATTTGGCCCCCAAACTTTATATAATTACACTTTTTCCCAATTCTCAACTATAAATACCCCTTCATTCTTTCATTTTTACTCACAAATTCATCAATCTCTCTCAATCTATATCTAATTCTCTTCTATAATTGCTTATTTTATTATTGCAATTTCGTTAAAAATTGTGAAGTTGGTGAATTGAAGTATTTAAGTCTTCAACGATTTTCAATTTTCAAGAAGTTGTTCGGCAATTCGGTAAACTCGTTCCAACTCTTAAGTTTTAAGAATATATTTTTGTGTGTTTTAGTTTGCATATTAATTTTTAAGGCTAATTAATATGGCATTTTCTTTGAAAAAATATTTGGTGGTAAGGGAAAATCTAAAATTGGTGAAAGTAGTCGCCAACCTACTACCCTTCCCCCGGCTTCCAGACCCAGACCTGTTACCCGTCCTCCTGCACCTATTATTCTTGATAGTGATAACCCTTGTTTTCAATTTTCCGATAGTGAATTTTGCCATAATGTTGCACCAGGTAAATAATTAAATGATGAAGTTATGAATGCTCTTTATCCTAATGAAACTATTTTTGAAAATGATGATGAAAATAATGATGTAGATGAAACTCAACCGGATTTAGATGATACACCTACTAGTCCTGTTAATAACCCAACTGATGCCCCGCCCGACCCACCTGTAGAAACCCCTACTTTTAATAGACAACCTTCTAAACGCCCCGAAACATCACTTGTTTGGAATTTTTTTACTCAATTAAGAGAACAAAATAAGGCTAAGTGTAAAACTTGTGGGAGTTTGCTGGCGCATAAATTTACTGGAGACCGTAGCGGTACGGGTAGTTTGGCTAGGCACAAAAACACACCCTAGAGATAAAGCTAAATTTTTACAAATGAAAGCGCAGCTAGAGGGGACAAGTGTAGATACTACGGTTAACCCTAGTACAGGTTCAAATCTAGTTCAACCAGGAATTAACACTGTGACCGGTGGTATTTTATATTACGATCCAAATAAAGATCGTGAAGAATTAGCAAAGATGGTTACCGTTATGTGCTTACCCTATAGTTTTCCTTCTAACCCTAACTTTATGCATTATATTAGAAAAGTTTTTAATCCTACTTATAAAGGTTGGCATCGCGCAACCGTAAAGAGCGATATTTATAAATATAAACATGAATATGAACAATATTTGCGGTATTTATTTACTCATATAAATTGTCGGATTGCTATTACTACTGATATTGGTAGAAGTAATAATAACTGTGATTATCTAATTGTTACAAGTCATTGGATAGATGAGGAGTGGATAATGCAAAAACGCATTATTGCTTATAGAATAATTAATTTACGTCACACAGGTAAGTTTATTGCTAACACTGTTGCAGATATTTGTAGATATTTTTGCATTAGAGATAAAGTAATGGCAATTTCTATTGATAATGCTTCTAGTAACACTAATGTTATAGGCATACTTACAACGACACTAAATCCTGCATTTAGTAATCGTCGGTGATGGTATGAGAATTTTAAATTTAGAAATTGAAAAGGTTAAAATGGCTCTTAATTGGCTTTTTTATTCAAACCGTAGAAGTAGACTTAGAGAGTATTTTAAAAAATATGATGAATTTGGCCTTAGAGAAAGAAAGGTTCCTAAACCTTGTCCGACTAGATGGAATTGTGTGTACGAAAGTTTAGTAGTTGCATATGAATATAGAAACCAATTAATGCAACGTTTAATGCTCGTGTTGGTGGTGAGGATGATGATGAAATCCTTACAAATCAAGATTGGAATAATGTTAAAATTCTTATAGATTTTTTACAACAATTTCATCAAGCTACAAATGAATTGTCTGGGCAATATTATCCTACTATTTCAAACTGTTTAGTTTATATTGCAGCACTATGTGATTTGTTTGTTGAATTTTCGGAGGGTGGGGAAATTTATAAACTTGCTATAAATGTAATGAAAGAAAAGTTTAAAAAATATTTTTTCCCTATCCCCCCTATTTATGGTGTTGCTGCAATGTTAAATCCTACAATGAAATTAGGAGGTCCTCACTTTTGGTACTCAAATATTTATAAGGCTTTAGATCTTTCAAATGAGGAATTTGCTACACTTCAGAGGCAAAAGCCTCAATTAAAATAAATGCTGAAACAATTTATAATGCTTATCAACAAGCCTTAGATCATGATAGGCCAAATGTTCCAACCCCTACTTCGTCTAGTTCACAATCGTCTAAAAGAACTGCGGGCCTAAAAGCACTTAGTTCTTGGACGGAGTTCAGGGGTTCTCAAGGTGATAATTTTGATGAGACTTCACATCTAAATGAGCTTCAAGTTTATTTGTCGCAGGGACTCGAAAAGGAGAATCCAGACGGCACCTTTGATCTTTTGGAATGGTGGAAGGCAAGAGAAAAATATTTTTCGGTTCTTGCAAGGATGGCTCGGGATATTTTATGTATTCAAGCTTCAACAGTGGCATCAGAGAGCGCTTTCAGTCAAGCAAGACTTCAAATAGGTGATCATAGAGCGTCTATGAGGGAGAGCTTGGAAAAATCAGTACTATTCAGAGATTGGATCCGCTCGGAAAGAAGAAATTTTGGACTTGCAGAATCACAACCGGAGATAGACGAAACTTATGAAGAAATGATAGCGGAACTTGCGGAGGATGCTGCTTCGCCCGGAAGCGGTGATGAACAAGCTTCTTTTCCGCCACCACCAACGGAACCTCCTCCGAACCTTGAAGGATTTATGAAATTTGTTAGAGATACTATGTAGATTATAGTGTAACTTGTACATTAGCACATCTTCTTTAGTTTTTTTTCCTTTTAATGGTGGTATTAGCACCTTGTTGTGCTCATTCCATTGGGGGAGGAAGACTAAGAAAGATATGCCATTTTTGTTAATAAAAATTATAAGACATTCCCTTGAATATCTCTTTGCAATATTTTTTTGTCTTTAACTTGCAATTCTATATAAGCTATAATATACTAACATACTATATATACTACAAGACATTACAAGAAATTATATAAAGAAATATATACACATAACATACTATATATACTATATATATATGTATATATATATATATATATATATATATATATACACACTACATATATACATACTATATAAACTATATATACTATATATACTACATATTTATTTTAAAGTTATTAGACGTATTTATGCTTAATGTTTTACTTTGTTATTAATTTATTATGCATGATAATTTAGTTTTACTATTGTTTTGTTATTTTACTTTTTAAATGCAAACTTTAATATATAATTATATATACATACTATACATATTATATATACTATATATATTTATATAGCCATGTATAAGCAATTTATATTAGTATATACATATATGGTTTACAAGAAATTGCCTTAAATAAATAAAAAATAAAAATAAAAAAAAGCCCGGAAAGAAAAAGCCCGTTAGACCCGTGTGGGCCCGGCCCATTTAGCCCGGGACCATGTGGGCTTAGGCCCGTCGTGGGCCGGTTCCACCCGTTGAGCCCGTGAAGCCCGGGACCGTTAGGCCCGGGACCGCCAAAGACCAGCCCGTCTGAGCCCGGGCCCATTGGCCGGCCCGTTTGGCCCATTTAGGCCCGGGCCCGGCCCAGAATACAGCATTACTTGCAACATAAAATTTGCTTTAAAAACTCTTTAAGTAAAATGAGTAGAAAAGGGGGAGTACAAAAATTAGTTATACATTGTGAATAAACAAAAATGGCAAAATCAGCAGTACATCCTCCATTAAGATCTACAAAAATGCACTAATGTATAAAGAAAGAAATCAAATGTAACAACAAATTCACAAGATAAGGGGTAGCTCACTTGGTGAGTGAGCTCTCTGCCTACCACATTTGAGGTGGGAGGGTTCAAACCCCATCAATGGTGTAGCATGCCCACCTTAAAAATATCACATTTCTTTGCACCTCACAAATTGACAGGCAAATCCAGGAATCTACAGGGAAATATACATTGTTCATCTCCTCAAGAATCCCATTGCCTGGTAGACATTATTGACAGTAACATCTGCTACATCTGCTGCTTTTCTGGCTCCCTCTGCCAAGACTCCATCCAAGTAACTTGTGTCTGATACAATTTCCTCATAGCGTACCTGAAAAGTACAAACCAAAAGGAATTACGCAGAAGTGTCTTTGAAGGAATAAAACATTGGAGAGACACTAGGCTTGCAATCATCTTTGACTTCCGATTGTACGATGAGAATCAGAGACAAGAAGATACCGTTCTCTGAGCTTGAACTTATTCCATTTTAAACAGAAATTTAGACTGCTAGAAAACCGAACAAAAAGAATTTCCCACAAAATTAAAAGAAAAAGGCTACGGAAGAAACTATAAATCTATAACCCTATATTTGAAAGAGAAGTGAATTGAAATAAAAAAGATGCTCGAGAGAAAAATGAAGAGTTAGAACACAATAGGGTTAGATTGTCACCAGTTGATACCTAGATGCAAAATACTAGCAAGGTATATTGTCAAAAAAAGGATAGCAGCAAATTCAAACATAAAAATAGATGCAAACATATGCATTCCTCCAAAGCTTGGAATCTATGAAAAATATGTCCACCAGCGGCCTTCCATTACACTTTCTAGATCATAGAAGCAAGTCAAAAGTGAAGCAAAAGCTGAAGTCAAACAAGTTTTTACAAGCCACCCGCAACTTGATCAGTTTTCCCATAAATGTTCCAGTTATTCACCTTGAATCCTAATTCATGAGGCTGCGACAACTTAACTCTTTTTAGCTCCTTACCCACTGATAGGTGGATACTTATAAATAGAATAACTTTTATTAAATAAAGTAATGGTTAACAATAGGATAAAATTTATCTTCCAAGGATCATGAAGCACAGTCCAGATTTCTTTTTCCTTCCAGGAAATATAAACCAGGAAATGGATACTTGAGACGTATCATTTAAGAATAACTATATCCTTTTTGAACATTCAACCGTGGACAGCATACACCAGTCTGAAAGGAAAGCAAAATTAGAGCTTTATGCGCACTTTCACCTACAAGACCAACAGCACAGAAAGAGGTCTCTAACTAGAGCAAGAGAGTCAACAGATATGGGACAACCATCATATCAGAAAATAAATGATTAGTAACCTCCTAGTGTTTATTTTGGCTGTCTTGCTATAGAGAAAAGTCCTCAAGTCAGAATTTGGCAGACAGACAAAATTGAACTTTCACTCAAACATACAATTAGCTCAGGAGGCATCACATGCGAAAGAAGAAACCTGGATAGGGTGTAGATGATCAACTAAAGCATCTGTAAGCACGAGTTTGAACGTTCCCCAATTCATATCTCTGCATTCTTCTGCAACCTCCTGTGGCATCAAGTCATTGAGAATTAACTTCTCCAATATTGCTTGGACAATGTAAAGACATTGGAACCAATTCAGCACCCCTCAAAATCAACTACTCAAAAGAAGAAGAAAAAAAGAAATTTAGCTATTTTAGATGACACACTTTTCCGGACCTTTAATGTGAAGTTTATTGAGTTGCATTTTTTTATAGTAAAAACGGCAGTCCAGTGTACCAAGCATCCTGCATTCATGCAGGGTTCAGGGAAGGACCGGCATACCAAGAGGGTATGATGTAGGCAGCTTACGACGCAAACATCAGTGGTTGATTCCATGGTTTGAACCAGTAAGTTATAGATCACACAAAGACAACTTTACCATTGCTCCAAGGCTCCCCGGTGCCAAATGTCCAACTCTAGGCATGCGAGAGGGTGTTAGAATATCCTACATTGGTTAAGATAACCCGTTGTCTCTTCGTATGGTTTTGGGCAATTCTCACTTTAAGTGCTAGTTTTTTAAGCTTGTGTTAGGCCCAATGTCAATGTTCTTAATATACATAAGCTATAGAATAGGAAGGAACACAAAAAATACATAATTACAGATGAACAAATCTTCCTAATGGATCTTAATTCTTAACTAATCCTTAGTAATAATGAATTTCCCAATTGATGTTACAATATATTTACAATATTCTTAGCATATTCTTAAAAGTTCAAAAGCCAGTTTAAAGAGAGCACCAACTTATGATATTGATTTAAATTGTCTAATACATTTAAGTTCTTAATAATGTTGAAAGTTTTTCAAACATTCAAACATAAAAATTGTGTCCTTAAATTAGGATATAACTAATAAAAAAGGGCAGGCGATGCACTAAGCTCCCGCTATGCACAGTTTCCTGGAAGGATATAATTAATAAAAAATTTAAAATTCTAATATCCAATTAATTTAGTATACTAAAAAAATTGTATCGGCTCTCTCAATTGTATGCATCACATAAAATGGGATCAAGGAATTGGCTTGATTTCCTAATTCTTTGGGTTGTAGTTAACAGGACAAGGAACTGTAATATGAGCGCGAAGAACCACAGAAAATATATTGCGCAAAAGTAGTAACATTTATATGCTAAAGTCAACCTGCCACCCATAAAAGAGTAGGCATACATAATACTGGTGAAACGAAAGGATAATGTACATAAATTAATAGCATTAGATATGAAGACATTCACCTGCTTGGTCTTGCCTGTAACTAGTTGATAAATAGAAAGAAGATTGTTACATTCAGGTCTTTCCGGATTGTCAAACTCCATGCTGTATATTGACAAATAAAACAACAGAAAGAATTATAACACACCACAAGAAAGTAAAGTCATTGAGACAAATATTTATGCCAAAGGACGAATGTAGCATGCCTTGTCAAGGTCTAGCCTTTAGGGAAGCTTTTTCTTTTAAAAAGAAAAAGTAAGACATTAAAGTCTCAATGGAGAAAATAAAATAAAATTCTACAAGCCTCTGCACCAGAAGTGATTAGATGCTTACCCAGGAAACGAATCAGTCTTGCACCGTTTTATTTTATTTGCTATTACCTGTGAAAAGAACAAGAAATCCCACATTAAGCATGAAACAGGTTTAATGTTCAACACATGATAATTACCCCGGCCAAGCTTTATTTTGATATCACAAGGTCATCACCACTAAAGATTTATTAAAAAATGCATACAACTCCACACCTAGAACCCTACTCCAACAGAACACTTTTTCTTTTGATAAGATAAACTATCCTACTCCAGCAAAACACGTATTTTGACATGATACAAGTATTGAATAAGAATTTAAACTGTAATTGTTAATCTAAATGAATGGACACGAGATTATTGTTTTTTTCTTAAAAAAGAGATCATTGTTTTAGTTTTGATTTCTTAAGGTCAAAATAGAAGAAATAGTGTGGTGAGATGAAAGAAAGTGTTGTTTTAACTTTTTACCGTGCATAAAATGTGGTTAAACTTTCCTTTAGGAAATAGATGTTAATTTGGGATAAAGCTGGACATTTAAATTGGGATAAAGCTGGACATTTAACTAAAGAGAAATAATCCCAATATGGTCACATTTTGATGTCAACTCTTAGTCCAATTGCTTCAACTGTTAATAAAGCCACTACCATCACAGTGAGCATCTAGTACCTCCGCATGCCCAAGGCTGGACACCAGGAGCGTAGACAACATAATGCCTGGGCATGACAGTGGTTAAACCAAGAATAAGGATGCCTTTTACTGTGATACCATGTTTAGAAAAATTAACCTTGAACACAACTCAACTCCAACATCTAGTTGTTTAGGTTGAGTTAGATCCAAGGTCCATCTTTCTTGACACTAGACCCTGAAATGCACTATTGCTCTTGAGTTTGACATTCTTTTACTAATTGTAACTTTCAGATATTTTTATCAAAAACCAATAAATGGACATGGTCTTGACATTCTTTTACTAATTGTAACTTTCAGATATTTTTATCAAATGCCAATAAATGGACATGGATATGTGGAGTAAGCCAAATATAACAGAGAGGAAAAGAGATAAAAAAAAAGTATTTATGATGAACTTAGACATGGAATTGCAGATTCCAATGTCTAGAAGTTGTGTATAAGTCTTTTTCTTTCCTTCTTACAACAACACATTCAGAATATGATTAGCCAATTCAAGCTTTTTATAATGTTAAAAGGCATAAACCCACGTTCCAAAAGTGATATACATAAAAGATGCTTCTAAAAGCAAAAACAGATGCCCATAAAAAAACTAATTTTACTTACATCTTTTGAATCTAGCAAATTGATTCTCGACTGATCAGATGGTGCTGACTTCGACATCTGTCCAACGAACTCCATTAGAAAAATATATTGGAAAGAAGCATGAATTTATTAAAGAAACTGAAACAAATACGACAGGCTTTAGGCTGCAACAATTGCAAGAAGAGCACTTTTTGCAGAAGAAGAAAAGAAGAAGAAAATGAAACAAATAAAAGCTGCTCGAACTTAAGAGATTTCAAACCTTGGAAAGACCATCAGTAAGGGACATGATTCGAGCCCCAGCGGGTGGAATAAGGGGTTCAGGAACCTACATTGACAAAAGCATACTGATTAGCATTCTTCACCTATACAAATAGCATGTACAGAAGTGAAGGGCATCAACCAGGCTTCAGTTGAGAATCAACCTTGAAGATTGAACCGCCTCTCCTGTTACAGAGAAATAATAAAGTGATTTTCTTTTGACAAGTTGAAATATAATCAACTATTAGGAGGGGCACGAAAAGGTCAAACAACAAGATGGTGACTATCCAAATATATGTATTTAAAGCATAACACGACTGCCTTATGACTTACCCTCCCAGTTTCTTCCACTTCCTTCCTCCATATAAATAGTTAACACGCTCAGCCAGCTCTCGTGTCAACTCCAGGTGTTGCTTCTGATCCTCTCCGACAGGGACAAAATCAGACTGCCGAAGGATACTTTGATACATCAGATCCACACATATTCACACACTTTCAAGATTAGAGTTGGCGGAAAATTGTGCTGGGAACTGCAGTGGCATTTGAGCAAGCTTCCCAAGGATACCCCAAGATATAATGGTAATCAAAATGCTGAATGCAACAAGTCAAGCTTCTAATTCATAAAAAATAAATCTCAGACGTTAAGGGTTAGTGAAGTATGGAGCTGGAAACCACCTGGTACAGAAGAATATCAGCAGCCATTAGCACAGGATAGGTTAGAAGGGCAACACCCACATTTTCATCCCCCTGCATAGAGAAATAAATATTAAAAACAACTGATAGAGACACTGAAAAAACAGTCCAGTATAAGAAAGAGCCAAAGGTTTAAGTGTGGAAGCAAAGAGTTATGATGTTTCTGTAAGAGATGGGGATAAAACCAGCAACCACAATCTGGATTTTTATGTCATTCCGGCAAAAAGGTTTAGAAGAATTTACCTAAATAGCCGTCTACCCAACCGCTTAAACTAAAAATAGCCGGCAGATGCATAATATTTGCATAGTTCATGTATAACTATGTGTATAACCATGTATAATCAGTGTATAATCCATATATATCAGCCAGGGAAAAACATTGAACTCCGCCGGCTATTTGTGCAAAAATCCCAAAGGTTCATTTCAATTTCTTGGTTCCAATTTCAAGCATTAATTATATGGATCAAATATTTCAGCACTTGTAAGAAGTCCTAATGTCAGAAATGAGAAAAGTAGGAATCCCAAAGGAGACATACATGTTTCTGCTGGAGATAAGGGGTTCAAAGGCATACCCATTAATAGCATGCTAGTTAATAATATTTTAAAGCATGCTTGTTAATAATATCTTCAAGTATCCGTACTCTAAGGGGTATTCATACTGGGTTATGGAACTTACAGAAAATTTGGCTTATCAAATACAGTTGAGATCTTCACATCAAATTATAGGCTCTTCTGTTGCCCCGGCAAAGGCATCTTAACATTTATTCCATATTTATAAGAGATGTTACCATCAAAATGATATTTGTTTAATGTTGTTTATAGAAACAGAAAAAATATCAAACCTGATCTTGACTACTAACCGCATAAAATAGAAGAAACTGATCTATAAAATAGAAAGGAGATCAGGTAACTAAAATACGTGTGTAAAGAACAAGATTATATGAGGCACTTTGGTTGTAAGTTCAAGAGGCAAGCAGCAAACTCATGTTGAGCAAAAGTGTAGTTCTTCAGATAAAGCAGGCATCATGTTCACATGAATACATTTTTGTGGAGCCTAATGACATCAATGGCACTTGTAAATATAGTCAAAGAAAAATCAACGAATTATCTTTTGCCAGCCATAGAAGTTCTGCCCAGTTTGTGTATTCAAACTTGATACCAAATCTACCTACTGTTATTATTTATCCAAAACATCCTCTGGTTGAGTTCATACTTCTGAATTATTGCACCTCTAAAGTGTAGTTCAATATCCACTTTTTACACATGCAGCATCAAATCACAGTTTACAGATGATATGGTTGAAATAAAATTCCTCCAAAATTTGGTGAATTAAATCTATATAAACTATTAAATCCTAAAAAGCAGAAATTAAGATATTGAAAGACCAACAGGCAATGGAGAGAGGGCTGCATACAGCAATGACGCACCGCCTTCCGTGATTTCTCTTTAAATTGAATCATCCTGTTGAGCCAACCAATAGGTGTTGCAGAACTCAAAAGCCACATCAACTCTACATGAGCACGGACATGAGACTGCACAAAGACTGAAGCCTGGAAGCAAAGTCGCAATAATCACAATGCAAGGGATAGGCCACAACATAATATATATGTTAGAGAAAATAAAGAGCAGACCTTAGAAGGATCCACACCACATGCTAAATAAATAGCAGCTGTATCCCTTGTTGACCTTGGCAATTGTTGTGCTTCATATGGCAAAGTTATCTGGAAAAATCTGAAACAATATTACCTTCACCAGCTTTTATTTATTTCCTTATCCTCAGACGCAGTGGTAGGGGTTACAGCGAGGAATTTTGGGGCTAGATTTGTCAAATGTGCATAAGCAAGTGAATGGGTATCAGCCTGGCATAATGTTCTCAGAGAACTAAAAACAAACAAGACCATTTACTCTTATTTTCACCTAGTCACAAGTCCTACTCAATTGGAAGAAGAAAGATTGATTAGTCCTACCATAGTTTCACACCTATGGACCGTTGCATCTGTAGGTTGACACAGGACATGACCAAACCATATCAAGCGACCTTCTCTCATTTTTTCCTCAATAAGCGCTACTTGCACCTTTTGCCGAATGCTTCCATTTTTAATCTTATCTAATCTTGTGTGATAGCACATCCATCTTACCATCCACATTTCTTCAACACTCATTTTATGGATATGTTGGACTTTGCAGTCCGATATTCACTATCATATAACATAGCCGGTCTTGTAGCTCTTCTATAGAAGTTACCTTTTACTTTGGTAGGCATCCTTTTATCACATAACATCCCCGCAACACTTCTCCATTTCAACCATCCAGTTTTAATCATATGAGTAACATCTTCATCTATCATTTCATTCCCTTGAAACAACAACCCTAAATATCTAAATGATTTGCATTTGGCACCGCAATCCCATTTAGTCTCACCTCAACTTCGCTCTTCTCATGCTAACTAAACTTGCAGTGCATGTACTCAGTTTTACTTCTACTTATCCTAAAATCCTTACTCTCTAAGGTTCTTCTCCATATCTCAAGCTTTTGGTTGACACCCTAACTACTTTCGTCAATTAGCACAATCTCATCAACAAATAGCATACACCATGGGACCTCATCTTGAATTGTGTTGGTTAACTTATCCATAACTAGGGTACATAAGCAAGGGCCCAATGAAGAACCCTGGTGTAAACCCAGTGTTATGGAAAACTCCTTTGTATCTCCTACTATTGTTTTCATGCTAGTGACAGCTCCTCATATATCATATATGTCCTTTATGACATTCATATATTTAATATGAATTCCTTTCTTCTCCATCACCCCCCAAAGGGCCCGTTGTGGTATTCTATCATATGCTTTCCCCAGGAAAAGGGAGGTCCCTACTAGGATTTGAGTTAATAAAGCCTGAGAATCTGCATTGCCATCCAAAATCCTAGATGAACTAACTTCCAATTGTGAGTATTTGGACGATGATGAAAGATCTAGGCACTTTACTTTTAAAACTTCCTTGGACAGAAATAGGGTTAGCAAATTAAGCAGATAATCACAATGATATTGCGAAACTAAGAGAGTACAAAGTAACTGATTAAATTTATATAAAGGAGAGGAGTGAGTCATCCAACTATTACTTGATAATGCAAGTTCATATATATCTTCCAAAAAATGTAAAACAGCATGAGAAAATTCAAACGAAACAACATATGACTGGGGAATAGTCTGGCAAATTGGAACTATACCGCATGAAGGTCCACAATGAAAAAGAATGTCTCATATGTATCCTGAAAAGAGCAACCTCATCAGTGAAAGAGTAAGTCAAATCTAAATTGAAATTTCTGTAAAAGAAATATAACAATATTTCTCATACAAATAGAAAAAAGATTAGTAGCAAATCTGTTTTCTTTTATATGTAAAATGATAGTAAATCTCTTAACACGTCTTAGATGTACAGCCGCTGTAATTTTCAATCAACTGAATACTAGCATTAAGGGATTTCAAGAATTTCTTTGAAAACGTGCCATTCAATTGACTATCCGAATAATCAGAGGGAAGAATCCAGAAAAAAAACAGGAACTCAGAGCAGGTATGTGTTATAACATCCACTGTTTTCTCATCAAACTGTGTCAGCAATTGGAATTCACCATTCCATACAAAAAACCTGATTGAGGCATCGTCGTCCACACAAAACGCAGAGAAACTCAAAGAGATCAGCAGATATTTGATTTATAACGAGTTGATCAGCGTGCTAGCATGTCCGTTGGAAGCCCTACACATTGACTGTTAGACCTTGATAGCCAATCCACAGTAACATATTGCGGAAAAGATGTTGAAGAATGATGGCTAAGAAGTGTGGATTCAACAAGGTTCATTCACAGAGTTTCCCAGGCTGATACTGGCTCCATTGTGAAACAGATCTCAGGTGGAAACGATAACCAAACTAGTTGTAGAAATTCAAATGTCTTTGATTGATGCTATATATAAATTCCCATTATGGTGTAAATGAATTTGACTACACCGAGACAAATCCGCAAACTTTGTGAACACAAAATGTTCGTGAGTAAAAGCTAAAGGTGGAAACCTCAAGCACCATTCAACATGCTACATTAGTAGGAAGCACTTACACCTTCGCTTCAGATTGCAAAACAAAGCATTAATAGGATATTAAGCAACATTAAATAAGACGCCAACAATAAAAGTACAGAGAAATTCAATTGCTTGGATTATGTTGTAGCTAAGTTAAAAGTTCTTTGACATACTCTTTTCCGACTGAAACTGTAAGAAAAATGACAAAGAAGCCAACCTGCAAGCGTATCCAGTTCTTTATGGCACCAAGATAATTTCCCAGATGTATCAATCCTGTAGGCTGAACACCAGAGACTATTCTCTTCCTGTTTAAAGGGGAAAAAATAACAAAAGTAAAACATTTTAATCATGAAAATCATATACTATCATAGCGATCTGAAGTTTCAAATATAACCAGCTAAGCATGTAGCGCTACACATAAATGTGTTTACTTCAAAATCATTCACTCGAGGTTCAGATAATGCCTCTTGGTACCATAAACCACAAGCAATACATTTCTCCATATCTTGGTGCATGCCCACCAACTACAGAACTTCTTGATGAATGTGTTCATTCTTAGTATGTTTCATTTCCACGAGTTAAACTAGGTTTAAAATATATAGAGAAAACAAACTTAACAGCCAAAAGCTTCTACATTCCGAAGTACCGATATATGGAACCACATAATATGAGTATACAAATGCAACAAGACCAAAAGTTAAGAATAAGACATGTAAATCATACAAAACAATTTAAAAGTGCAAAAAAAAGTGTAAGAATTACTCATGTAAGAAACCAGCTACTAGCATTGTAGAGCAGCATAACCATACCAATCACTGATTGCTGTGGATTAATATTATCTCTGGTAAAAAGCGCCAAAGAGTATCCAAGAATTACTGTGAATAGTAAATGGAGGGGGGAAATCGACTGTTGTAAATTTACTAGTTTACTAACAATGACTGACACAAGTCAACTCAAAAATCACCAAAAAGTAACAAAATTAACCTTAAACTTTCGGACAAGTTCCTCAAGATGGATAAACAAGTTATGTTGTCTAGGAAAAATGATCAAAGCACTAGCATCCAAGGGTGTGGCCTAGTGGTGAGATCTCAGGCTCAAATCTCAGCGGAGGGAAAAAAAATACTAGGTGATTTATTCCCACTGCCGGCTTGATGGGTAGAGTTACCTACTACCTATGCTAGTGGGAGGTAGCAGCTACACTGTGGAATAGTGTGAGGTCCATGCAAGCTTACAGTACATGGACACCAGAGTCATAAAAATGATTAAAGCACGGCTAATTTGACAATTCACACATTAACCAAGAGCGTAAAAATGAATCAACTAGCCCATTAATTAACAAGGTGTCAAATTGAAACCATCAAACAATGCAGAGAAATTTTCTTCTTTTTTTTTTCTTGTTCAGTAAATATTTCATCTTTCTGAGTTGCATTGCAATCGAGTAGATTTTGATAAATAAGAGTTATAATAGCAAAAATTGCGAGCTGCATTACTTTACAGGGCTTGAAGAAGACTCAGAATTAACAGGTTCAGAGACAGCTACATTGCAAAGGCACCGGAAATCTCGACCGGCTTGTAAATTACGTTGACGAATTAGCTGTGATCTTCTCAAGTATTTACCTGAACTTAATCCGCGTAACCTGCTAAATATTGATAAAAACAGAACTAAAATTGAAGATAGTGAATGGAGAAAAGGAAAATTAACAGTTAAACAGAGGAGAAAGAGAGATGAATACGTGGAAGAGGCGAAGCGAGGAGCAGAATAAGTGACCATACTGAAATGAGAGAGTAGAGAACGGCCCATTGCTGCTGCTTTTTTAAGGTCTGCGAGTTGGAACGCAGTTTGGATGAGATGGTGATTATGGGCAAAGTCTGAACACGAAAGAGGTAAAAGGGGATATTTAAGTCGCATTTAGGAATTAGGAATAAGTGACCAATGCGTCATATCTTAGCGACTTATAACTTACAAGTCATCAATAACAACAATAAAATCTCACAAGTAGTATCTGCGAGACCTACAGTGTACGCAGACCTTATTCCTACTCTAGAGGGGTAGAAAGATTATTTTCGAAAAGACTCTCGACTCAAAGAATAAGAAAATAAAGAATAGAAAATAGATCAATGACAGCAATAGAAGCCAGAAAAACAGTATTAGCATCGTAAGAAATAAAAAAATAGATGTAAAAGCAGTAACAATAAGCAACAATAATGCCATAGAAAATAGTGAGGAAACTACATAAACCACTAACAACACACGGCGAAACATTATCAGGTCAGCCCTGCCCCCGGAACAACATAGAAAAACGTTCGACTCCCTCATATGCAGGTCAGTCGTTTTAAGAATTAACTCTTTGATCCCCTATTAACTGCATTCCTTGTGTTTGTTTCTGCTATTGTGAGTTGTCGGAGGATTCGTTTTGAGTTTCAAAGTGTTTTGGGACACTTAGTCCCTAAATGAGAGCTTAAGCTTTAGAATTTGGACCGTAGTCGGAGCAGTATGAAGACGGTCTCGCAATGGAATTCCGTCAATTTCGTTAGCTTCGTTGGGTGATTTCGGGCTTAGGGGCATATTCGGATTGTGTTTTGGAGGTCCGTAGCTTAATAACGCTTGAAATGCCGAAAGTCGAATTTTTGAAGTTTTCGGTTCCATAGTGAGATTTTGATCTCGGGGTCGGAATGGAATTCCAGAAGTTGGAGTAGGTTCATTGTGTAATTTGGGACGTGTGTTCAAAATTTCAGGTCATTCGGGCGAGGTTTGATAGACTTTTTAATCGAATGCGGAATTCGGAAGTTTGGAATCCTTAGGCTTGAATCCGAGGGTGTTTTGATGATTCGATGTTGTTTTGAGTGTTCCAAAGATTGGTACAAGTTTGAATAGTGGAATATGACTTGTTCATACTTTTGGTTGAGGTCCCGGGGGCCTCGGGATGATTCCGGATGGTTGACGGAAAGTTGAGAGTTAGAGTGTGCAGCTGAAGCTGCTGAATTCCTGTCATAACCGCACCTGCGGATTGGGGACCGCAGGGGCGGAACTGCAGAAGCGTGTGGTCAGTCGTGCGTCCAGATGAGTGAAAGTCAGAAGTCGCAGGTACGGGTGATTTATCGCACTTGCGGGACCTCATGTGCGGGTAGATGGGTGCAGGTGCGGTCCCAGTGCATTAAGTGAAAACCGCATATGCGGTTGGTTAGATCGCAGAAGCGGGAATAGGGCCTCAGGTGCGGAAACCCTGGGCCAGAACCTATATAAGGGTTCCTTCGCGATTTTCAGCTCTATTTCACCATTTTTATCTGGGATTGAAGCTTTTTGGGAGATTTCTGAGAGAGAATTCAAGGGAGCTTCGAGGAGGTAAGATTTTTGGAACCAAAACTCATTTATATGGTGTTATTTCACTGATTTGACAAGGATTTTATGGGAAATGGTGGTTAAAATTGGGGGTTTAGGGTTTGAAATTGGAGACTTTGATTTAGGGATTTGAGGGGCTGTTTGTGGTTGTTTTTTGATGTATTTGGTATGCATGAACTCGTGAGAGTGTAAGGATTCTAGTTATGTGAATTTTATCCGATTCTGAGACGTGGACCCGGGGGACTTTTGGGCGATTTTCCTAATTTCGCGTGTTAGCTTCGAATTTATTATTTGAGTTAGCTACTTGAAGTTATATTTACATTATGCAATTAATTTAATTAGATTTGGGCCACCCGGAGTTGGATACTCGTGGCAAGAGCGTGGTTTCGTGTTGATTTTGAGCTGGTTCGAGGTAAGTGGTTTGCCTAACCTTGTGCGGGGGAACTCCCCTTAGAATTTGGTATTATTGATATATGAATGTCGTGTACGTGAGGTGACGAGTGTGAACATGTGCTAATTATTGAAAAACCCCGTTTTCATTAAGTAGCTATAATTATGTTTTCTTCCTTGTTGTACATTACTTGCAATTAAAGACTACTGTCTAGTTTAGGGAAGCATGCCTAAGTGACTTAATTGTTCTACTTGCTTAAACTGTTTACCTGAATTCTGTGCAGCATGTTAGGATAGAAATATTTGTGTTTCCTTGGTACGAAATTGGATAAAATTGAATATTCTTCGAGATACTATTGTGTGTTTACTTTGGGACTACAGGCGATATCCTGGGAGATCCCCCTTGCTTGTTTATTTGGGACGACGGGACAGCACCCGGTAGATTTCCCCCTGTACTGGATATTTACATTTGGGACTATGGGTTGTCAATCCGGGAGATCCCATGCGCATTATGAACTGGACTACGGGACGATATCCCGGGAGATCCTTTGTGTATTTACATTTGGGACTACAGGACGATATCCTGGAGATCCCCTGTTGTCAACTCAGTGTGGAGTTATATTCTTTCTGTGATTTTTCCTTTCGTTATAGTTGTTATTATCTTTATTTTTCCTGTCTTATTTTATACTGCTTTATCTTATGACGTATATATGTATATAACCAATAGAGCCCTGACCTTCCTCGTCCCTACTCGACCGAGGTTAAGCTTGGCACTTACTGGGTACCGCCGTGGTGTACTCATGCCCTTTCCTGCACATATTTTTCGTGTGCAGATCCAGGTTCTTCGGCTCAGCCATACCGTCAGTGAGGCAAGGCGATCTTCAGACTTCGAGGTATATCTGCCGTGTCCGCAGACTAAAAAGTCTCTCTCCATTCCCTTTTTTAGCTATAGATCTTCTGTATTCTCTTTTGACTAGACATTCTGGAGTTACAGCACTAAGTAGTATTCTCAGCTTGTAATTTCGTGAGATTTCAGGTTTTGGGAGTTGATTCAGTTTTTTAGAGTATGTATTGGTATACGCCGAGCGGCATCTTACACGTTTTATTATTATTTATCCTCAGTTTTTATTTGTTTCGTATTTCGTTTCTTTTTCGCAAAATTGTTAGGCTTACCTAGTCGTAGAAACTAGGTGTCGTCACGACAGTTCACCGAGGGCGAACTTGGGCCGTGGCAACTTGTTATCAGAGCTCTAAGTTCATAGGAGTCATGAATCACAAGCCAGTTTATTAGAGTCTCGCGGATCGGTATGGAGACGTCTGTGCTTATCTACGAGAGGCTATGTAACTATTAAGAAAAGTTCCACTTCATTTGATTTCCTTGTCGTGCGAGATTTTTGATATCGAAATTCCACACTCCTGTCTTTTATTCTCTCACAGATGGTGAGGACACGTGCTACTAGAGGTGACCAGACACCCGCATCCCCGCGAGAGCTGTCAGAGGTCGGGGTCGGGGTAGAGGCCGACGACGCCCACGCGATGCGGCCAGAGCACCCGTGCGAGCTGCTACAGAGGAGCCACCAGCAGCTCCAACCGGAGCCCAGGCGCCTGATACGCCTACTGCTACTACTACTCCGTCTCTCCAGGAGACTCTTGCACAGTTCATGAGTATATACACCACTCTAGCTCAGGCAGGGTTGCTTCCCCTTGCTGCAGCCACATCCCAGGCCGGGGGAGGGGCACAGACTCCCGCCGTCCGCACTCCTGAGCAGCGAGTGCATGTTGAGCAAGTCCTAGAGATTGTAGCGGCACAGCCTGTAGCCCCAGTTCAGCCCGAGGAGAGGGCAGTAGCTTCAGAGGAGGAGCAGAGGAGGCTTGAGAGGTTCAAGAAGTACCAGCCTCCTACATTCAGTGGACTAGCATCAGATGATGCTCTGGGATTTCTAGAGGAGTGCTACAGTATCCTCCGTACCATGGGTATATCAGGATCGAGCGGGGTTTCTTTCACTGCCTTCCAGCTTCAGGGAGCCGCCTATCAATGGTGGTGTACTTATGAGTTAGACAGTCCAGATGAGGCAGCTTCCCTGACTTGGACTCAGTTTTCAGATATGTTCCTGAGAGAGTATGTTCCTCAGAGCCTCAGGGACGCATGGCGCGCAGAGTTTGAGCGTTTGCGCCAGGGTACTATGACTGTCTCGGAGTATGCTGTCCGTTTCACTGACTTGGCTAGGCATGCACCAGCCTTGGTTTCTACAGTTCGCGAGAGAGTTCACCGGTTTATTGAGGGGCTCATTCCCAGCATCAGGTCTAGCATGGCTCGGGAGTTGGAGATGGATATTCCTTATCAGCAAGAGGTGAGCATTGCTTGGAGAGAAAAGGGTATGCATGCTCGGGACAGAGAGGAGAGGGAGGCCAAGAGGTCTCGAGAGTCGGACCATTATTCTGGTGCCCGTGCCTCAGCTGCAGCTCGTCATGGTAGGGGTTATATGAGTCGCCCCGTTCACTCAGCTCTTCCAGCAGCCAGTGGTATTCCAGCTCCTCCTAGACCTCAGGAGCCTTATTATGCGCCTCCAATATCTAGTGCGCCTCCTGCACGATATGCTTTCTGTGGCCAGTCACAGCCGCTACATCCTCCCGGAGCTTATTTTGAGTGTGGCGACACACGCCGTATGGTGAGGGATTATCCTAGACTTATAAGGGGTGCACCTCCACAGACTTCTCAGCCACGGCGTGCCACGCAGAGTTCCCAAGCTATGGTTACAGCACCAGTTGCTACCCCACCTGCCCCGCCAGCTAGGGGTGAAGGTCGGGGAGGTAGAGGTCGCCCTAGAGGGGGAGGCCAGGCCAGATACTATGCCCTTCCTGCCCGTACTAAGGCTGTCGCCTCCGATTCTGTCATCACAGGTATTATCCTGGTCTTTCATAGAGATGCATCAGTTTTATTCGATCCAGGCTCCACTTATTCTTATGTGTCCTCTTATTTTGCCCCGCATTTGGGCGTATCTCGTGATTCCTTGAGTTCTCATGTTTATGTTTCTACTCTTATTGGAGACTCTTTGGTTGTGGACCGCGTTTATTGGTCGTGTTTGATTGCTCTTAGTGATTTTGAGACCAGAGCCAATTTATTATTGCTCGGCATGGTGGACTTTGATGTTATCTTGGGCATGGAC